AACGGTAAGTCAGCCAGGCTTGGTGGCACACATCTACAATCTCAGTAACTTGCAAGGTAAAGGCAGGAGGATCACAAGTTCAAGGCCAGACTCAGMAACACAGCAAGACCTGTTTCAAACTTAAAATAAATTTTTATATATTAATAATTATAATAAAAAGATAAAATAGTTATAAAACAATAAATAGTGCAGTAATTGGGATTTTTAAGTGCTTCCTTTTGCAGTTATAAATGGTGGCTTAGAGGGATTCAGTCATAATTATACAAAGATTCCATGCTGTGTCAATTATATTATGCAAGCTTGCCATAAAAACAACAAAAAGATTTGCTGATAGTGACTGAAGCTACACTGTGGAATACCCCCGAAAATGACTTCAATAATGTAACTCCTGTGATACTGTGACAGGAGAATTAATGGCTAAGGTATGAGAGGCAAATGAGGTTAAATATTGAATGATCTCGAGGGATACCATGAAAACCCTAATATATATGTATTTACACAAATACAACATATAATACATTAATATCTTAGTCTCTTTTTGATGCTATAACAAGATTCCTGAGATTGGGCAATTGATAAAGATTAAAAATGTTTTTGGCTCTTGGCTCTGGAGTCTGGGCAGTCCAGCAACATGGCAAAAGCATCTTTTTGTCATAATAACATGACAGAGGGCATTGTATGGTGAGATTGATCTAGTATGCTGGTTTGGGTCTCTCTTCCTCTTCYTAAAAGCCCACTACTGCCATTACGGGGGCCCATTCTCATGACCTCATCTAGWCCTAATTACCTCCCAAGGGTTCTTCCTCCAAATAACATCAGAATATGAATTCAGGGACCAAATTTCCAACATGTGAACATTTGGGGACACATTCAGATCATGGCAGTTACATTCATTGAAACATAGGCATAAATACAGTATACTTAATTTTTWAAAACTACAATAATACCTTATGTGTCATAAACTGTAACAGATCCAATACTAGTAACTTGTATTTAACCTCTCTTATCTGCTAAAAGAATTAACAGTCTTTGTCTTCCCTGATTTCAACCACATATTTTGTTTTCCAACAACAAAAGATAAATTTATATTGTTTCAGAAAATAGGCAAAGGTAATTTATTTTGCCTGTGTCTGTGATTTGGATGATTCAGAATCATTTCATATTGCATGCTTCCTTTTCTGGATATAGTAATTAGCAATCCAGATGGCTAATATATAAACAATTTAAGTTATGCTTAAATTATTTATTATAGCCCAGGAGGTTCCTAGCTCACTTTAGTACCCGTGRCCATCTGTTTATGGCTTTGCACGTTACCATCTGCAAGTTTGTGCTTTCAGTTTCTTTACAGGTCACAGTCCCCACCTCCCTTATACATGTGAAGGACACTTGCTTCTAAGGCTGTATTAACCATTGCACCTCTCAAGACTCTGTTACAAAACCTTGGTAATCCCGGCTTGCCTTCAATTTTATCTTTCTTTTTATTCCTAATTCAGTTGTCCCCTTGCTATTGCTCTTCTCAAAAGTATTCTATAAGTTGAAACTTGTAGAATAAAGATTAAGAACATGAGCTGAGTGGGGGCTGTGTATGTGGCTAATTGATCCTGGACAAGATTTTCCACCTCAGTTTCCTTACTTTATAAAATGAACTATGCATGAGATAGAATATAACCCATTTAGTACCATGCCTGGCATTCCATTAAGTACTGGTCACTATTCTTATTATTCACATTTTTGGAAAAAAATTCTCACAACTGTAGGTAGGCATATTTAAAGGGAAAGTTTGACTACTATTTCTAGAGTTTCACATAGGTCTTTTGGAAGGAGTATCTGTTTTAATTTAAGCAGCTSATTATTTAGGTGAAAGCAGATATCACAGTAAAATGTGTGTAGCTATTAYAGCATGGTTGTTTGGGGTTTGCTTTCAGTCTACCTCACGGGATCCTGATTGAAACTTTGGATCCCAAATAGCTGAAGGAAAGTTTCTCTCGATGCTGGTCTGAGTTCTTTTCTGTTGCTCCTGGTTACTTGTTACACTGTGATCACTTTGGAACCTAGCCGTCACATCTGTCATTGTTCCACATGGGTCAGGCCAGTCCACATACGCAGTCTCTGGGGAGAAAGACCAAACACTGACACTCCCATATCAACCCGTGTTCTAGACTGTCTGTGTGTTCCTCCCAGCAGCCTGTGAGCTAGGCCAGTCTTCCTGATTTTATGCAGTTTACAGTTTCTGAATCAAAAATCATCTATTTTTTTTGAATATGAGTATAGTGAGGCAACCAATGGAACAGATGAATATGATTAATCTGGATTGTCTTGAAAATTCAGGGCAAATAGCTGCTATGGTTACAGTGTCATGTGGTTATAATGTAGAGATAGAGATACTTTGTGAAGGCTTAATCTTGCACATAAATCTACAGACCTGCCAGTGGGATTCACGTGTCTCTCTCTGTCCCCCCTTCTCTCTCTCTCTCTCTCTCTCTCTCTCTCTCTCTCTGTGTGTGTGTGTGTGTGTGTGTGTGTGTACTGCCTCTGTATGAAAAAAACTGTAGACATACACTCACACCACCCTGTTTTGACGATAGCGCAGATTTAACATGCACTCACATAAATCCTTAGCATATGAACCAATTCAGAAGTAACTGTGCAGCTGCTTGATTGGCCCAAACATCTTGTTTCCAATTCCTTTAAAAGAAGCTTTTACTAAAGTCCATGGAAGAAGTAATTCAAGGCTCTTTAATATATTTCGGTTTGCAAAGAGAATTTCAAACTGTTCCAGTTGGTCAGTGTATATCCTTATAAAACCAAATATCCCATTCATAGTCTCTTGTTATGCATCCTTGAATTATCTTCCATGATTTTTATAGTATATTTTATATGCTTATAGTAGTATTTTATAATCATTTAATTCCATGTAATTTACAGTAATTGTTTCCAAAGTGAGCAGACCCCTTCTGTAAAAATCACACATGAAATAGAATATTTATTCACTTATGAAAGGGATCCTTCACTTTACTTTTTTCTTCTTTCTCARTGTCATTTGATTACAGAATTAACAGTCTCATAAAGCCTCAAAAAATATATACAAAGTACAAAGTAGAGTCTTCTCTCACCTCCTTGCCGCTCCCCACCTCAAAGAGTGACCGCTGTTTACAGTTCAAGTATTCCCTGGCAGCAGATGTTTTTCTGTGCCTGTGCAGACATATAGATGTCTTCTTGGAAAGACTGATGCTMACATTCTTGAGGAGTTAGGAGCATTGCTGTTTGAAAAAAAAAAAAAATGGAGTTTGACGATGTTAGTCATTATGCTTAAAGGAAGTGATTTTAATAAACACTGACAGGTCATTTTGTGGTAGGCCAGCTTTTCAAGTTACTAGTTTGAAAGAATAGTATTTTATAACAGGTGTAAAAATCAAAGGTATTTTGTGAAATATTTTGCCCTTGATTTTCTGTATTTTTCAGTGTCCATGGATAATTTGTTTACAGACACTGCAGTATTCAAGGAAGATGGAAAGAACAGCCTGTGTCAGCTAAAGAAATAAAACTGTTAATCCCAAATTGACAATTGAAAGCCCTTTAAAGTTACTTGTTACACTCAAGAAACAATTCACCCAATCTGTCATCTCATTCCGGCTTATTAGTAGTGGAATCTCTCAGGTGACTCTTTCAACAGTTGGTGTTGAGCTCTAAAGTTGTTCGTAGAGATTCCCTGTTGCTAAGAAATACAACAGTTATTTGGTGTTTGATACTGTAAGTCACAGTGGTTAACAGGGCTGAAGGGAGGTCTGTAAATGTCCCATTTTTTTTCTCTTTGGAGCTGATCTGTCCCATTTCYGTGTCCTTTCTGCCTTGATACACTTGTCACAGGAAAATATTTGCACAGTGGCTAGAAATTAAGCCTCAGATGTCGGGATTTCCTTATGTAAAAATATCAGCTCAAATGAAAAATTAAAAATAGTAAAACATGTAAGAAAACATAGGCCTCCTCAAATCCTTTGTGAATCAAGAYAGTGTATAAAATATATGAATCAAACCAAGAGTTTTATTTAGGTAATTGATGTGAATAGTAAAATCAATATTATTTTCTATAGTTTAATCATGTCTCTCTTTTTAGTTTATCTTTTTAAAAATTTCATTTATTTTCACATTTGARTGTTTTATTTATCTAACATTTTATACCCCTAAAAATGATTTTCTATGCTCTTCTACTGGAATGAGGACTTCACATGTTTGAACTAGATCTCTAGCTTTATGGAGTTCCTGGTCTCTAAGGGAGAGGGATAATTTGGTCACTGCAATGAACCATGCCCAAGATCAGTGCTGTGGGAATTCAAGCAGAAGAAGCCTTTCCTCATCTATGGTGCACAACTGGGAGGTGCAATAGAGATGGCTTTCCAGGGCCAGGGCCTTTAAGCGAATGCCTGAGAGTCAGACACACGTCAGTCAGGCAGAGGGTAGTGAGCTTGGGGAGTGAGTGGCCAGAGACTAGCAGCGTCTGCAAAGTCCTGGCCATGAGAAAGATAAGGACACAGTCAGGAATCTGATAGAAGTTTAGTCTGGCTGGAGCATTAGTGGAGTTATAGAAATTTATTATGAAAGTAATACATGTTCATTTTTTTTTAATTAAAAAAATAGCAAACAGGAAAATCTGCATCGTCACTAATTTCAAGCTGCAGTTAATTTCTGTGAACCTTTTGCTGTCGTCATGCCTTACATTTATATTCATAAGAAGCACATGTGATCTTCATTTGGCTCAGATAATAGACGTATAAAGGTATAAGATGCCTGTACATATATGAAAACATTTTAGGTCAGGTTGGGATCATGCCAACATGCTACTTGTTACCTGCTTTTTTTCCCCCACATTATAGTATGCTTAGATATTTTTAATATCCTTAGATGTCATTGTATTTTAAGTGAATTATTTTTAAGTTGTAATGTTTTGTTTTTATGAATATAAATGTATTTTTAAAGTTGACCATCTCAATTTTTCTCTGCAGGAAGAATGTTTCTTGAACCTCGAGGCTCCTATATCCAGAGTGTGTGGGTATGACACACCGTTTCCTCACATTTTTGAGCCATTTTACATCCCAGATAAATGGAAGTGCTATGATGCCCTTCGGAAAATGATCAACTATTGACCACATAGGTAGGTGCCCTGTATTGTGAGAAAGTTAAGGTTAGTCCCTGACATTCATGTACTGTTACCCATGGATCAATAGTCGTCCTTGTGTTACATTCTGATAAACAGCAACTTTCAGAACAAAATGTCTACTTTGTAAAATAAATCTTTACTAGTATGTTTACATTTAATAGAAACATGTCAAGCATATGTATACATGTGATTTCTAGAAAGCATTATTCAGATTTTATCTTTATTTCTGTATACTTTTCTGACTATTTAAAATATTCACAAATAGGTGTGATTTCTATTATTATTATTATTATTTTATTTTTTATTTTTTGGTGCTGGGGATCAAACCCAGGGCCTTGTGCATGCAAGCCAAGCTCTCTACCAACTGAGCTACATCTCCAGCCCCAATTTCTGTTATTTGGAAGTGCCCCCTCAAACACCATTAGCTTAGGCTCTAGTTATTCATATGATGATTTATAACATTTTGAAATTCACCCTTATATTATCTGGAGAAAACATTTATTGAGTAGAATACCTCCTTATTGAGTATAAGGGAAATTTCAACTAAGGAAAAAACTTACTGCTACTATCACTACTATTTTCAGATCCTTTTTGGTAAATGAATGCTTTTTAAATTTTGAATAACAGATGATATTTATTCATAATGATTTTTGAAGTCATGCTTATCAGCCCCTTCAGCAGTGTCATTCTAACAGAAATAAATAACATTAAGAATTATTAAATTAGGTTTTCTGGGTTTTAATATAGATGTTGCTATCACAGACACTCTGATTTTGAAATGTTTCAAAATGAGTAGATAGAATTAGATACTTTACATTTTAAACTGTAAGTTGACCAAAACATAATAGTAATACATTTTGAATAACCATGATTTTTCAGAAGAACAGGCTCTAAAATAATATACCCCATACATTTTAAAGATAAAGAATGCTGTAATTCTTGAGTTCTGTATTATAAAGCTAGTTCACCTAAAATCAGAGAGAGAGATGTCTTTACATTGGTACAAATACAGAACATAATGCCCATCATGTGCCACTGTTATTATAATCCCCATATTTTTTGCATCTCTTTTGATAGAATGTTATAAGTATAGATTTGGGCTGTTAGACCTCGCATCCCAGTATTCTCTCAGAAGTGCAGGTGTAAATGCTATATTTCTGATGTCCTCTTGCTGCCTGGAAGAGCAGCTGGCTACTACAGTAAGCTACACTTAGAACTGATGAGAGAGCTTCCTCACTTTTGACTGTCCATATCATTCCCTTCCATGGACCATCCAAATGGCAAATCAAGGTCGTAGTGGTGGCAGCCACATGCTGGTTTTAAATATGATTTTCCTCCTCCTCCATATTCTCTTCCTCCCCCTCCTCCTCCTCCTCCTTCCCACCTCCTCCTCCTCTTTTCTTCTTCTTCTGTGGTACTGGGGATCAAACCCAGGGACTCATACATGCCAGGCAAGTGCTCCACTATTGAACTACACCCACATTTGTTTTTAGACATAAGCAAAGAGTTTAAACCTATATTGAAACTATGATAGAAGAATAGCTTTTTCTGTGCTAGAAATTAAATAGGATATTAAAGTATTTGTGCATACAACTGAGAATGTTTTTAATTGTTTCTGATTTCTTTTACAGAAAAAGGGGGAAGATTATGACTACACACAGAAATATTTTTTTGAATTTTTATATTTTCTCAGACCTATATCTTCTTGAATATAGTTTTTATGAAATGAACAATCATGGATATYGACTAAAGAATTATAAATTAATTATTATATTAACAGAAATGAATTGATGATTTCTATTTAGAGCATTTCTGATTAACACCTTAAAATGTTCCACATGGTAATAATAATAAATTCAGCTTAATTCCATCTGTAAGTATCAGGTGTGACACAGTATTCAATAAAGAAAAGTCAAATCGTCTTCAGGTTGGGTCTGTCGTCTTTTTTCCTTTAGTAAAAAGGAATTTTGTTGCAGGTTGTTAACTTGCTATTTAAATCTGAATTAAAATGAACTCTTTACTCCAGAAATGCTGATGCTTCAACTTTATTATATGTGGTTTAGTTCTTTATGGCCAAAATGTTTGGATATTGGCAAGAATTCTGGAATATTTTTCCCCCTTTTCTCAACAAGGTTGCTAGTGGAAGGACCACTTCTCCAGATTGTGGTGGGGGAGGATCATCCCTGAGCCTCATTTCCATACTCTGGGAGATAGACAGCCTGATCCTGTTTGCTATAGTATTGACTGGCTTTAGCTATGGTTGTAGGTTTTTTGTTTTGTTATTTTTTTCTTTGATGTTTCAAAGCAGACATTTTTCCATGTTTCTTATATTATTGTGTAGATAAAAAGGAAAACATTACAATAAAGTTTTACTCAGCTATAAAGAAGTATGAAATTATGGAATTTGCTGGTAAATGGATGGAAATGGAAAACATGAAGCTAAGTGAAATAAGCCAGACTCAGAAAAATCAAGAGTTGAATATTTTGTCTCATATGTGGAAGCTAGAGAAAAATAAAGGACAGAAGGTGGGACTGTGCCTGGGTCAGGGGTGGGGAGGTATAGGATATCGTAAAGATATAGGGGAAGATCAATGGAATAGAAGGAAATTGAGGGTGACAGAGGTGGMGAGATGGGAAAGGGGAGAAAATCTGGAATGAATTTAACAAAATAATATTATATGACTAGACCACAGGGTAGGTACCATTCAAAAATAAATAAATAAATGAGCAAAAGGAAGACCTGTAGAGGTAGGAGAATAGGGGGAGAGAAAAGGGGAGGGAAGTGCAGGTGAGTGGGGATTGAAATTAAATTCCATGCCTACATAATTTTGTCAAAGTGAACCCAACTACTAGGTACAAGTATAATGCTCTAGTAAGAAAAAAAGGAAGATTAAAAAAATAAGAATAGAAATATTAGCAGCAATAAAGGGCTTCTACAGGAACCGCCTTCTTCTTGAAGACTTTTCCAGGGTCTTTTGTTGCTTACTCTACCGCCCCTGCCCCTCACCATAGTTCTAGAAGGCCTGACCAATCCAAGGATCTCCCTGTAGAGACCCTTAGCTCTGGCACTGCCCTTAGCTGTTACATCTGCCACTCCTCCCATCATTTCAGAAGCATTTCCTCTCATGGATTCCAGCAGAACCAATCCCAAAAGAGAAATGGGGTTGTCGTGTTTTCCTTTCTCTATAAACCTAAAAAAATTGGACATTTTCCTATGATTACAAGTGTGTATGCCCCCTAAACTGCAATATAAAAAGCTATATCCTGTTTTGTTTTGTTTTTTTTCCACCAGCAGTTGGTAGAGGATATAGAAAGTAATATATGTAGGTTGCCAGAAGTTTGGAGGCAAAGTAAAGGCCCTTGATCATAGACTCCAAATGGCAATGGGCTGAAAGAATGAGCCAGATTGCTTCTTAGGGGTAAAAATAAAGCCTTGACCTTGGATTAAAACCTGAACAGTATAGAGAAAAGATGTAGTTTGTCAGTTGCAAGTTCGGAAAAGATTTAGGGAATCCAGTTGGCTCACTGCACAGGACATTCTGAGTTTAAGGTGCCAAAACTCAGTAAGGACTTTGGCTTACTCCACCAAGAGCTCAAGGCGTCCTGCAGGGAACTCTGCATTCACCAGTCTAGCAGAGCAGGAAATACACTGCAGTCACCATACCTGGGGCTCTTGAAGGGTCCTGTTGAACATAATAGTTTTAGTTGAACTTATTTTTTTAGTTGATATTATTTATTACTTCAGTTGGATGTCTTTATTATGTTGTATTGCCATTATATCATTTTAATGCGATTTTTTTTCTACACATTGGTTATTTTAAGAATTTTTTCTTAACTATTTAAATTTTAGTTTATTTAACTCTATTTTAAAAAAATAGCAAACATAAGGATAACTTGGGATAATCTATACACTAAATGCCAGAGTCTAAGTGCACCTTCCCACCTCCAGTTGGCCCACCAGTCACTACCCGCTTCCCATCCACAGTAAACAGCTTAGAGTTAATACTAAATTTAGCCTACAGCTCAAGGCATGCACATGCCTCTACATAATTATCAAAAATATATATWTTTTATGTGAAAAAATGTTCTATATTGTGAAAATAAGAAGATAGTGGCAAGAAGGTACGCGAGATCTTAAAGGAATGCCAAGTCCAACTCTCCCACAGTTCTCTGCCTCCATATAATAAGTCTGCTCCCTGTGATAATGTGGATCGAGAAGCTAATTTTATTTTCTAGGGTTCACAAAAATTATTCAATTCTGTTAGGAAAAACATACTGTAACATCCAGGTTCTGCATAACTGATAGACATTATCCAACTGAACTACATCCCTGTGTACATCAGAAAAAGAAATAAGGAATATGATCCAGAAAGTAACTCGGTTCTATCCATTAGGTGCATGTCCCATCCTCTAGAAACCCTTGGTGTGATCTTTAGAAGGTGGCCCACTGAAGGTACTCATTTAGTTTAAACAAATCCCTTTCTTTTTAACTTGTGTGCATTGGACACATGTGATTGCTGGATGCCCAGCATCCTACCCCTACAGGCTAGTAATAGCACTGCTGTTTGTTTGGAGAACTTCCTCTCCCACCACTCCTTCTCCCCCTCCTCTCTGGAGGGGTGACCAAACCCAGAACTTTTCAGCATTCGCCACAGAGATGGCCCTGACCTAGACCAAGACTCAGCCAGTTAGTTCAAAGTAAAAATTCAGTTTACCCAATGCAGTAACAAAAGTTAGATAGCCCAGTCTTGTCAATGATGCTATATTCTAAAAGACTGGCTCTTGAATTTTTACTTGTTTCAGGGATACCAAATATACAGATGATAGATGCTAACAAGCTGAACACACAGATGAGATTACCCTTAGCAGGAATTCTTGGCTGAGGGATGAGAAATGTGGCCCCAAAGAAGTCATGTTGGAATTTCCAGGGATATGTGAAGTTTGGCAAAGCTGATATACTCCCCAGGGCCATTAGGTTTGGAAAACAACAGAAC